CCCCAAAACCCCAAAACCCCAGTATCATAAATCTATATAGGTAGTAATAGTTATGAAATTAATTATGGTTTCAATTAAAAAAAGCGTCTATACACTATTAATTATCAATCGTCTAACTATTCTTTAGTTATTGGAAAAGACCCAAATTTATTATTCCAATCTAGAAATTTCTGCAAATCGTCTTTATTTACAGTAGCCTTCACATTGTTTAATGCTATTTAGAAGTCCTCAATATTTAGAGGCCTGATATTGTCTATACTTACATTTTGAATATCATCTATTTATCTGAGAGGGATCATTGCTGCCTCAGCTGAAAGAGATTTTAGATCTGCACCAGAGTATCCTTTTGTTAATTCTACTAGGAAGTCTACATCCTTGTCACTTAAGTCAATGTGATGTGGATTATTGGATTGAGTTTCGTGTTCTATGAGCCTGTGAATGAATTATCTTCTGCCAGCTTTGTTAGGTAAAGGGATGTATAGTCTCTTAATAAGCCTTCTCTTGACTGCTTCATCTAAATCATCTGGTCTGTTGGTTGCACCTATAATCAATATCTTGGCGTTTTCTCCTGCAAAGGTGTTTGCTCCGTCTAACTAAACTAGAAACTCTGTCTTGATCCTTCTGGAGGATTCCATATCATTCTCATTTCTCGAGCAAAGCAAGGAATCGATTTCGTCTATAAATATGACTGTGGGTTGATGGATAGCTGCCACTGCAAACATAGTTCTAACCATTTTCTCACCCTCGCCTACCCATTTTGAAGTTAAAGTGCTGGCTGATATAGACATGAAAGTCGAGTTTGTTTATGCTGATATTGCTTTTCCAAGGAGTGTTTTACCTGTACCTGGTGGACCAAAAAATAGGACTCCCTAAATGATTATCATAAATTTAGATACTTACCCTTGGAGGTGCTCTAAGTCCAGTAAATATATCAGGTCTAAGCATTGGCCAAATGATGATCTCTTGAATAGTCTTTTTTGCAAAGTCTAATCCTGCTATGTCGTCCCAAGTAACATTCAACTATCTTTCCATGATTTCATTCTCTATTAATTCAACCATCTAAGAAATAGTCAGATTGATTATCAAATTACCCTAGGATCAAGATTCTTATATCTCTCATCTAAGACTATATCAATATCCCCATCTTTTTTGTCATCTTTTCCATTAAGCTATATAATATTTTAGCTTTACAAATATCATACCATATGTTGCATCACAGACTTTCCAGGGTGAAAATTACCAGGCTATCCTCCTCCACTTCCACCGCCTGCTTTGTCCTTAGTTGGTATCACAAATTTCCTTCGACCACCAATGCCTGGCTAGCGACCAGAGTTATTTAAAAATCTATCAGTTGCTGAGTTCTCGTCTTCATAATAGCCACCATAATTATTGTTTCCTTAGTCATATCCATTCCTGCCAAAGCTATTCTAATTATATGGGCCTCCTCCACCTTGATACTAGTTATAACCGTTGCCACCATACTAATTATTCATATTTTGGTATCCACCTCCACCACCACCTCCATATGGATTAGAGTTGTTATTATTATTCCATCTGTTGTTTCCATTTTGGTTGTTATCATATCCATAGTAATTGCCTCCTCCTTAACCACCCTAGTTCATTCTCTTCATTCTATCCATATCACTCTTAAGCTAGGCCCCTGTCATAAATGCACCATTTTAGCTGTTGCTCTATTGCCCATTTAGATTCCTGTTATTCATATACTACTCTAAGAATTCCATTTTGCTTCTTTCATAAGATTTCTAAGGTGGCTGGATTATGTTTTTGAGTTCAATGTCATCATCCTCTCTTATTACTTTAGACAGTCTATCTTATGTTTACTTGCTTAATCTATTGATATCAGCATAGCTTGAGAAAATAATATCTCTAAATTTGCTATCCTGTGTGTTAGCAGCTTTTCCTCCATTACTATTTTAACTAGATCCAGGCAATTTAAAAGCAGGCTGAAAGAGGTTTCCACCTCCTTGTATATTTGAGTTTTCACTCTACTCCTCATAAAAGGAATACTCCCCGTAACTTCTCTTCTATCCTGCGTATTGCTAGTTTGATAGCATATTTTAACTTGCTACTACTTTCTGCACGAAGTCAGGCATGTTACTTCCATTATTGTATTTTGAATCTTAATTTTGTTTTGGAGCTTAAATGTTGAAAGTGTTTTGTGAGTTTTGAGATTAGTCTTTTTACATTCGCTGCCAAGTTGATAAGTTATCTTGATTGTCTCTCTACCTGGTGTTGATATAATTACCACTACTTATGCTTATGCCTATTTAGTCTTAAATAATTCTAGCATTTGTATTAGAACTGCCAGAACCTCTAGTAGGATCCATATCTTCCTCTATATATTAACTAAAAGCTTATCAAATAGTAAAGCGTACTTAATAGTACTTGTTGTTATATTAATATAATTAGAATTGCTTTGCATTTCACACACTCTTACTAAAATATTTCTTATTAATAGTCATAAATTTGACTAACTAAGTTCACAAATGGGGTTTTGGGGTTTTGGGGTTTTGGGG